AAGGTGACTGAGTGCTGGGAACACGAGTGTAAGGTGACTGAGTGTTGGGAACACGAGTGTATGTGACTAAATGTGGGAACCGAGTGTAAGGTGACTGAGTGCGGGGTACACGAGTTAAGGATGACTGAGTTTGTACACGAGTGTAAGGTGACTGAGTGCTGGAACACGAGTGTAAGGGACTGATGCTTGGAACACGAGTGTAATGTGACTGAGTGTGGGAACACGAGTGAAAGGTGACTGATGCGGGGAACACGAGTGTAAGGTGACTGAGGGGCGGGGGAACACGAGTGTAAGGTGATGAGTGCTGGAACACGAGTGTAAGGTGACTGAGTGCTTGGGAACACGAGTGTAAGGTGACTGAGTGTTGGGAACACGAGTGTAAGGTGACTGAGTGCTGGGAACACGAGTGTAAGGTGACTGAGTGCTGGGAACACGAGTGTAAGGTGACTGAGTGTTGGGAACACGAGTGTAAAGGTGACTAGAGGCTGGAACACGAGTGTAAGGTGACTGATTTGCTGGTAACACGAGTGTAAGGTGACGATTTGCTGGGAACACAGTGTAAGTGACTGATGTTGGGAACACGATGTAAGGTTTACTGAGTGCTGGGAACACGAGTGAAAGGGTGACTGAGTGTTTGGGAACCCCGAGTGTAAGGTGACTGGTGCGGGGAACACGAGGTAAGGTGACTGAGTGCGGGGAACACGATGGTAAGGTGACTGATTGCGGGAACACGAGTGAAAGGTGACTGAGTGCTGGGAACACGAGTGTAAGGTGACTGAGTTCTGGGAACACGAGTGTAAGGTGACTGAGTGCTGGGAACACGAGTGTAAGGTGACTGAGTGCTGGGAACACGAGTGTAAGGTGACTGAGTGCTGGGAACACGAGTGTAAGGTGACTGAGTGCTGGGAACACGAGTGTAAGGTGACTGAGTGCTGGGAACACGAGTGTAAGGTGACTGAGTGCTGGGAACACGAGTGTAAGGTGACTGAGTGCTGGGAACACGAGTGTAAGGTGACTGAGTGCTGGGAACACGAGTGAAAGGGTAACTGAGTGCGGGGAACACGAGGAAAAGGTTGACTGTGTCGGGGAAACACAAAGTGGAAAGGGTGATTTGGAGTGCTGGGAACACGATTGTAAGGGACGGGATTGCGGGAAAAACCCCATTGAAAGGTGAATGAGTTTTTTGGGGAAAACACAAAGTGTAAAGGTACTGAGTGCGGGGGAAAAAACCAGTGAAAGGTTTACTGATCCCGGGAAAAACCATTGAAAGGTGACAAGTGCGGGGAACCCCAGTTTTAAGGGTGACTGAGTGCGGGGAAAACACGAGTGAAAGGTGACTGAGGCTGGGAACACAAAGTGTAAGGTTACGAGTGCGGGGGAAACACGATTGTAAGGTGACGAGTGCGGGGAACACGAGTGTAAAGGTGATTTTGAGTCCCTGGGAACACAGTGTAAGGGGACTGAGTTGGGGGAAAACCCCATGAAAAGGTGACGGAGTCGGGGGAACCGAGTGTAAGGTGATTTGAGTGCGGGGAAACCCACGAGGGGGAAGGTGACTGGTGCGGGGAACACGAGTTGGGTTTGACGGAAGTGCGGGGAAAACACGGGAAAGGGTTTACTAGTGCTGGGAAACGAGTGTAAGGTGCCCGATGCTGGGAACACGATTTGGAAAGGTGACTAAATTGTTTGGGAACACGAGGTTGTAAGGTGCTGATTGCGGGGAACACAGTGTAAGGTGCCCTGAGTGTTTGGAAACACGATTGAAAGGGTGACTGATGCTGGGAACACGAGTGAAGGTGACTGAGTGCTGGGAACACAAGGGTAAGGTGACGGGAAGTTTTTGGGAACACGAGTTAAGGTGACGGGAGTGCTGGGAACACGAGGGGAAAGGGTGACGAGTGCTGGGAAAAAACGAGTGTAAGGGACTGAGTGCGGGAAAACAAAAGTGTAAGGTGACTGGGGTGCGGGGGAAAACGAGTGAAAGGGTTTACTGTTTGCGGGGAAAAACAGTGTAATTTTACTGATTTGGCCGGAAACCAGTGTAAGGGGGACTGAGTGCTGGGAAAAACGAGTGAAGGGACGATGCGGGGAACCCCAGTAAGGTGACGGGAGTGCTGGGAACACGAGTGAAAAGGTGACTGAGTGCGGGGGAACACGAGGGGAAGGTGACGAGTGCGGGGAACACCATTGTAAGGTACTGAGTGCTGGGAACACCAGTGAAAGGGTTTACTGAGTGCTGGGAACACGAGTGTAAGGGGGACTAAAGTGCGGGAACACGATTTGAAAGGGTGACTGAGGGGCGGGAACACAGTGAAAGGGACTGATGTTTGGAACACGAGTGTAAGGGACTGGGGTTGCGGGGAACCGAGTGTAAGGTGCCCTGAGTGCGGGAACACAAATGTAAGGGACTGATTGCGGGGAACACGATTTGGAAAGGTGACTGAGTTTTTGGGGAACACGAGGTAAGGTGACTGAGTGCTGGGAACCCGAGGTAATTTTACTGAGTGTTTGGGAACACGAGTGAAAGGGTTTACTGATTCGGGGAACACGAGGGGGTAAGGGACTAGTGGGGGAACACGAGTTTAAGGGGACTGGGGTGTTTGGAACACGAGTTAAGGTAAATTTGATGCGGGGAACACGAGTGAAAATTTGACTTGTTTTTGCTGGGAACACAGGTAAGGTGCCCTGAGTGCGGGAAAAAACCATGTAAGGTGACTGAGTGCGGGAACACATTGAAAGGGACCTGATTTGTTTGGAACACGATGAAAGGGTGACGAGGGTTTTGGGAAAACGATTGTAAGGTGACTGAGTCCCGGGGAAACACGAGTGAAAGGTGATTTGAGTGCTGGGAACACCAGTGTAAGGTGACTGAGTGCTGGGAACACGAGTGTAAGGTGACTGAGTGCTGGGAACACCAGTGTAAGGTGACTGAGTGCTGGGAACACGAGTGTAAGGTGACTGAGTGCTGGGAACACGAGTGTAAGGTGACTGAGTGCTGGGAACACGAGTGTAAGGTGACTGAGTGCTGGGAACACGAGTGTAAGGTGACTGAGTGCTGGGAACACGAGTGTAAGGTGACTGAGTGCTGGGAACACGAGTGTAAGGTGACTGAGTGCTGGGAACACCAGTGTAAGGTGACTGAGTGCTGGGAACACGAGTGTAAGGTGACTGAGTGCTGGGAACACGAGTGTAAGGTGACACCTTTCCTGCTCGTCAACATTCAAGTGAAGTCACGGTGGGATTTCCATCCACTGGAGAGGTGACGGTCGCATTGACACCATTTTTTTATTCATTTAAAAGAAAAAATGTGGTTCCTTTTTTTTTTTTAAATTCCTGTACTGCTATTCGAAAACCCTGGGTCCTCCATAGTCCCATTTGTGAAAAAAAAATTATATTTTTTTTGTGATATTTAGAATGGTGGTACTTCGCATTGTTTTCAGTTTTTTTTTTTTTTTGGCCTTTTTCGATATTTTTTTTTCACGATATTTAAAAAAAAAATCTCCAAAATTAGCATCTTCTTGTCTAAAAAAAAATAGGGGGGGGAGGCATTTACTGTAGTCCCAAGAGCATTTTTACCCGAAAATCACATCAGATATGTCAGTAGTTAACAGGTATTTCGCAACTAGCATCACATCTTACACTAACTACATCGCCATCCGGTTTAATCAACAATCTATCGACATCTGCCGATCCCGTGACACACACACACACATACACAATTTAATGACGACAGTGCACTGGGGGTATTTAATACAACATGCGTGTGGCAATGGATCAGAAATTGGAACTAAAGTGTTAGGAGTGTAGAGGTGAGGCTACTGTGTCTGTTCTAATGCGCAGATCCCAACAGACAGCAGGTCAAGGACACTCATGTCTGGTCTACCTTACTAGAGGTGCAGTGAAGGTTGGGGAGAACACAGACACACAGAGTGATCTAGCTTGGGATAGGTAAGGCAGAGAAGACACTAGGTGAAGAACATGTTATGAATACTGTAAGAAAAAAACACAACTTATAAATAAATAGAAGTGGAAGACGTTTCGACCGTCTGGGAGTATTGGCCCAGTACGGACCGAAATGTTGTCTAGTATCTATATTTACTCTATGGGTTAGTTGTGACACACTAGTTGTGTCCAACACGACGTGATACAGTGTGTGTGTGGAGCGAGGCAGGGTGTGGTTCACAGGGGGAGAGGCAGGGTGTGGTTCACAGGGGGAGAGGCAGGGTGTGGTTCACAGGGGGAGAGGCAGGGTGTGGTTCACAGGGGGAGAGGCAGGGTGTGGTTCACAGGGGGAGAGGCAGGGTGTGGTTCACAGGGGGAGAGAGAGAGAGACACGACAGGAGGAACGATTCCCAATAGCAGCTACTGTTGGTGGACGGCGCTATCCCTCACACTGCTGGCATTCCTTCTCTCTTTTACCATGTACGAAGTGAAGTGAATGTTTGTGACCAGTGTTACATGGGCCTCAGCAAACACATGAACTGGTGGTCTTCCTGTGTTTGCAAATCTTACGGAGCAAGCCAAAGCGCTGTGATACACTGCCATTTTGCGGGCTTGTGAGAGAGAGGGAAGGAAAAATACACATTTGCTAAGTTTTTAGCTCTTTATAGAGCTTCGTCAAGCTATGAAAAGACAGCATTTTGCTCTAAACAGAGCGAAATGCTGTCTTTTCTCAGTTATCGTGTGTGTTTTGTTCACTGTCATCGCCTGTAGGGCATTCAGAACAAGATTATGGTAGATACCTCAGCTCCGTCTACCGTCCACCCGCATACTGTCTCTCAAGAGAATCATTCTCCCTCGTCTTTTCCGGATGAACCGAAGTAGCGCAGAGTGAACACAGAGACGGACATGAGGAAGAAGGGGATGCAACCAGTGAGATAAAGAGAAAGAGAGAAAGAGAGAGAGATGGGTGACTTAGCGTGAGGCTGTAGGACCCCACCCAAGCAGAGTCGACACAGACGTAGGCAGCTGTCGACCACGGCTGGCCCACCGCCCCCCACCTTGTCGATCTCCACAGCTCCCCCAACCTCGTCTTGAGGGGGCGCTGGGTCACCCCCTGCTTCCTGCTGGGAGTCTGCCATGGGCTGGAGGTCTGCCATGGGCTGAGGGTCTGCCACGGGCTGGGGGTCTGCCATGGGCTGAGGGTCTGCCACGGGCTGGGGGTCTGTCATGGGCTGGGGGAGCGGCTTAGCCTCATGGCTGGGAAGCAAAGCGGCTACCCCGCTGCACTCTGGAACTGTCTAGACCCAAAAAATCGACAGTGTTACTGCCTGGTCTCAAAATTTGTTTGATCATCTAAAAAAAAAAAACTAATTCCAAAAATTGTAAAAAAAAAAAAAAAAAAAATTTGCCCTCAAAATGGGTTTTAAAAATCTAAATCTAATACTGGTGTCATTGAAGCAAGGTGGTTCATGACGTCATTATTCCAATCCAGTGTTTTGTGATTCGGGCAAAAAAAATACGAACAGTGAAAAATACGAACAGCTCAAAGTATGAACAGTGAAAAATACGAACAGAGAAAAATACGAACAGTGAAAAAATACGAACAGCTCAAAGTACGAACAGTGAAAAATGAGAACAGCGAAAAGTACGAATAGTGAAAAATAAAAAAAGTGAAAATAAGAACAGCGAAAAATACGATTAGGGGGAGGGAAAATACGGACAGAAAAATATTCGAACAGGAACACAAACACGAACAGCAAAATTTAAAACAAGGAAGAAATACGGACAGTGAAAAATACGAACAGTGAAGCCATGAAGAAAAGGTGGACAGGACGAATATAAATAAAAGAAAATCGAACTCGAAAATACGAACAGTAACAAAATAAGAACAGTGAAACAATAGGAACAATGAAAAATACGAACAGTGAAAAAATAGGAACAGTGAAAAAAATACGATCAATGAAAAAATAGGAACAGTGAAAAAAAATACGATCGGTTAAAAAATACGATCAGTGATAAATACGAACAGTGAAAAAAATACGTTCACTGAAAAAAAATACGAACAGTGAAAAAATAGGAACAGTGAAAAAATACGAGCAGGAAACAAAATAAGCGAGAGGGGAGAGAGCCTGTTGAACACACTGTAGCCACCGCCACCCATGACCTAATACAGTGTTGCCAGCAAGTCTTATTGAATGGTTGTGTTCGTCCGTCAGTGTTGTGGTAGGATAAAAATAACAGCAAGAGTAATAATAATAATAATAATAATAATAATAATAATAATAATAATAATAATAATAATTATTATTATTATTATTATTATTATTATTATTATTATTATTATTATTATTACTGTTGTTATAATTAATTATTATTATTATAAGTATTATCATTACATAAGCTGTATACAGAAGTTCAGTGTAGTCAGCTAGGAACAATCCCCAGCACTTCGTATACACAAAGAGAGGTGTTGATATCTCAGCACATACACACTGAGAGGTGCATACACTTATCTCAGAGAATATGCACTCAAAGTCGTATGTCTCAGAGAATGTATCAAAGTCCCAAGAAAGGACCTCACGTATGATGGTGAGCGGTGTTAAGGTAATGGAGACAGAGCAGTCGCTCATATCCTTCTCGGTCAGCGGTAAGTCCAGGGGAAACAATGCCGATTATTAGGACAGAGGGACTGGACAGTATCTCAGTTATAGGGGATGATAATCAGTTTTTTTCGTGAGAAGAATCATAATGATTAACTTAATTTAATTGGTACAGATTTAGTTTGCAGTACATGAGAGGAAAATGACGGAACTTAGCTAGGACTACAGCTGAGATCACAGCTGAGATCACAGTTGGGACCACAGCTGGGACCACAGCTGGGACCACAGCTGGGACCACAGATGAAACCACAGCTGAGACCACAGCTGGGACCACAAATGAAAATTAAGATACACAATACAACTGCACAATGCAGCAACACAGTACAGCTGCACAATATAACTGCACGATACGGTAACACCGTACAGCTGTACAACACAGCTGAACATCACAACACCGTACAGCTGTACAATACAACTGCACAATACGGCAACATCGTACAGCTGTACAACACAGCTGCACAACACAACACCGTACAGCTGTACAATACAACTGCACAATATGGCAACATCGTACAGCTGCACAACACAGCTGCACAACACCACACCTGTACAATACAGCTGTACAATACAGATGTGCAATACTGCTGCACAACACAGCTACACAAAAAGCAACACAACACTGCACAACACAGCAACACGACACAGCAACACAACACAGCAACACAACACAGAAACACAATACAGCAATACAATACAGCAACACAACACAGCTGCACAACACAGCACAGCTGCACATCACAGTTGCACAACACAGCAACACAACACAACACAGCTGCGCAACACAGCAACACGACACAGCAACACAACACAGCAACACAACACAGCAACACAATACAGCAACACAACACAGCAACACAACACAGCTGCGCAACACAGCAACACATCATAGGTGCACAAC